CTTTGAGCTTTTTATTTTTTTCCTTAAAAGTATTAATTATCTTCTGTGAAATACAAGCAGCTTATTGATCCTCAGTTATTTAACCTATATGCACGACAAGGGATTGAAAACCTTATAATTGTGATGCCTAAGATACAGGCTGAATCAATATTGAGCATGACAGAAGGAATTTGGTGAAGGAGAGACATTCTGGAGAGCTAGAAAGCCTCTCTGAATAGGTATCCAAGACAGGGTTCCTAAGTCTTTTGTCCTTAGCTTCCTAGGCAGCTATAGTCTTCCCCTTTTCCCTAGATATTTGTTGCTACATTATTTTCTGTATTTCAAAACTTTTCTTTCAGTAGTAGTAGATGTTTCCAAATGGACAGGAAACTCTCTTAGCATTCCTTCTCTAATATCAGTCGAAGGCAATCTAAAAACCAGTCATTGCCTCTCTTGCCTCTGATTTACTGTAACAACTCCCACATGCTATGACAAATCTTTTCACAAAAACTGTATACTTTTCAGACATTCTTAGGAATCAGGAAATTGCACTGTACAAGTTTCTCCTTTCTTTTTTTAATGTCTTCAGTAACTTCCCTTCCCTAATTTATAATGCAAAGTGATCTAGTCTTCAATGTATGATCCTCATTAAGCTACTAATCCAAGCCTTTTTATTCTCATATACTGCCAATGCCTTAACTGCCATTTCTATTACAACAAGAATACTAACTTAGATTTCTATTTCTTGTATTAAAAAAAAAAAAAAAAAACCAAAAAAAAGACAGGCAACCACAGGACTATATTACTTCCTCCAGATCTCACCACGGAAGTCTTGACATCTCCAGCATGTAGTATGAGCCCCATAAAAGTAGATTTTTCGCAACTATTTTCTAGTACTCTACTCTGATGTATCCTGTTTTCACTTATTTTCCCCAAGTACATTACATTTTTTGCATGTACTGCTGTTGTCCTGGATGAACAAAATAATCTAGCCACTCACCTACCATGAGTTGACATGATGCTCTGCTTTAAAAATGAGCCTGTTCATTCAGTTTCTTGCCCTCTGAGTTACTTAGATGTTTCTGGCAACCAGACTATGTCTTGAATTATTTTGTATACATAGCTAGGTATAATATCTGAAATAAAGCCTAGCTACATAACCTCGTCTTCTTATGCAGTAATTGATGCTTTTCATCTTAATACATGCAGAGAGATAATACAGAAACTGCATTATGAAAAAGCCTCTTGGACATGGAAAACTGTTTTATACTTTCTGAACACTTAAGTTTTTTGTTAAGGAAGGTTTGGTAACACTAGATTAAGTATGGGACCTGAAATCTGTTCTTTAATTACCCCATGTAAATCTGGACATTTGTGTCATTTCTTTATCTTTGTTTTCCACCTGTTCTTCTCAGTACAAGCTGGGGAAATGCACTAAGCTAAATACCAAAGTGCACATGCTGCCTAACTGTGTTTGTACATCCTGCTGTATGCATTGCCTGATAATCTGTTCACAGGTATGATGTCACTTATTTAGTTTTCATAGCAACTTGGAAATTACCTTGCAGAGAATGAAGAGATGGTAAAGAAAATGAGGCATGGGTTGCTTTTTGAAAAACCATTTTTGAATGACTGGATGGCATATGTCTCGGATCATATTCCTTTACAAAAACAGATTAAAACTACCTGGAGTCTGTTCCCACTTCGATGCTGCTGTGTTCTATGAGCAACAGTGCAGCATAAGCCATGGACTAAGTAAATGGAGGGTTTTGGAAGAGGAAGAACCACAGACATGAAAGAAAAGCAAAACAACCAGACATTTTGCCAGCAAAAAAGTCTATTAGAAAGCAGTAAATGTAATCATATTCTTTATACAAATAACATGAAAATGTTAATAAGCATTTGGCATTGCACCCTTAGCAGGAGTGTGTGCAAGATTTAATCTGAACAGCTTCAGCATCTAAGATTCAATAGTATTATTATTTCTTAACTGAACAGAAAATACAGAGTACCTGTACATTATTATTTGTCTCTCAAAGCACCCAAATAAAACATCATGGACTCAACTAGTACCTTTTCACGCCCATGATTTCAGAGAATAGTTGTTTTGGGTATTTTTGAGTCTAACAAATGTAGTGGACAAAAACCCCTTAGGGCAAGTGTTAGTGCACATTTCATTCTGATGAAAAAAATTGTAAATGTGGTAAGATTTGTTTTGACTCTACTACTGAATAATGCAATATCATTAAATATCTCACATTTTCTTAAGTGAACATACCAGTTTAAATCAGCATATCAGTCCACCCAGAACAAGGTAGCCAAAGCATGTCTTCAGTCTTCTGCAAACAGGTCATTAAGAAAGACAGATCCTTTATGGTACACTACTGACTGCTGTGACAGTTCTTCCAAATTTTTATGTGAACTTGGGTACTTTTCTTCCTTAAGAATGGGTTGTCTGAAAAGGTGGACCATTGAAACACTGACAAATGGAAGTCCTCATGCTTTTAAGAAAGTTTTCTTGAAAACTGAAGGAAAGGTTCAAAAACTATCAATTTACGAATCACAGATTCGTAACTCTGGATTTCTAACACAGCAAATGCCTACAAGGAGCTTTTTCCTATGGGCAATTTGTCCTCATTGCAAACTTGGGTAAAGGACTAGGTTGCAACAAATTTCTTACGAGTAACTGTAGTGAGTTGGCAACAAATCCAGTGTGGTTTGAATGAGAAGAGCACACACATCCCTTACAGTCAAGCTATCTCTGCTGGCTCCAGTGGTAAATCACAAAGCCATCCTTCTATTACTTCCTCCTGGATCTTGAGGACTGGCACATACTGCTTTAGCTAGGAACACTATATATATTCAAATATATTTTTCCAAGATTACAGGTATCAACGTGGAGCCTTTTTTTCTGCTATCTTGCAAGATGTGTCATTTAGATTCTTGAATGGAATAATGGAAAGAGCCTGTGCAGCCACAAAAACGTGTTAGAAATCCTGAGTTAGTTTATCACAATACTTCTAAACAATTTCAATCTATGATACCCAGGATTATAGTCAACCAGGCTGATCTTTGGGATACAGATTTATAAGCTTTGTTTTATGGAAACAGTGTGTGCACTCAGATTTTAAAACATTCCAGCATCTCTAGAGAGTCCAGATTGTTCTTAACATTCATGCCAAACTATCAACAGTTTAAGAAACAGTTGCCAAAGGTCATTCCAGCTACAGCTGTTTGGAAATGCAAAGGGGTTTATTGATTTTTTTCCTTTGCATAGCTCTTTAAAAAAATATTATTACATCATAAAAATAAAGACCATGGCAGATGTTGATCATGATTTGGTCACAGGGGGTGGAGGAGAACAGATAGGGGGAGCTAATCAGGGTTGGTTTGAGGGTGAAAGACTCCACTGCAATGCTACTGTTAGGTCCCTGTGTGGTAATACTGCTCTCATGATGTGACTTTGACCTGGCACTATACTTGTCTCCCAAAGAATTAGGGAAGCTGGCTCAGCTGGTTGGGAAAGAAATCATTAGGCATGGCACTTTAGGTGGCATAAATTTCACAGCTCCAAAGCAATCTGGAGTCCTCCCAGAAAAACGGGTATCATATTCAAACAACTCACTAACCCCAGAGGCCAGCTCTGACTGCTCTTATGAAGTACTGTGAATCATGATCTTTAGGAAAACTAAGTGGCTGGGATCCAATTTAGCAGCTGGATTATATTAGTTCACATTTTTAAGGACAAAGGTTATAATAACAAGATCTTGTGTTACCCAATTGACTCAATTTACTCAATTAGGTAACATAGTTACCTTAATGGTTCTGTAAGAGTTTGCTGGTGTTAGAAGCAATGTAATTTCTTTCTACTAGGTAATACAAAAGAAGGGAATTCCATAGATGAAGGCAGAATAGTAGAAAATAGGCAGTTGGGATAAGAGAGAAGGCATAATAGGCACACTGTTGCTGAGAAGCTAGGAGAAATGACAACAGACGTTAATGATAGAGATGAAGTCTGAGTCAGAGTACTTCAGGGCCTTGAAAGCATAAGCAAGAAGTTTGAACCTGATACACCAGGCAAAAGAAAACAGAGAACACAAAAGACAAGTGTGTGCGTTAATACACATATGCACTTGCATGTGTTTAAAGAACTTAGGACTGAAAAAATGGATTTTTTTCTGCCTCCCCAACACTCCATACATTTCTTTTTTTTATGGGATAACATTTGTGAATCTCATAACAGGTTATTGAGCAAGAAAATTTATTTCATCTTTCAGAATGTCAAAGTTGCTCTTATTTCTACTGTACAGTGATATACCTTGGTATTGAGAAATTTTAGTTGCATACAGTTCAGATTAATGTAGCAGACAGAATCTGGCTTATAAGTGGTAAAAGTGGTTAAAAACATTTTAAGGTATAAGCTACTTTATCCACAGTTTCTAGAAAGCATTTACCTTGATACGTCTAAAACCTATAACATTTCATGGATGCTTTTACATGCAAATGGATTCTGCTTACTATCGGAATAAGAGGTAGAAGGCTGGTGGACTGTTTTGAAGTGTGAATAAGGGCTCTATGTTTGTTTTTTTCGAGGCTGAACTCTTAGTTCCTCACACTGCTGCTCATGCAACTTGGGCCAACCAAAACTCACACAGCCTCAAGAGCTGCCAAGAGCCCTTATCAAAGCTTGTAGCAGCTTCTCACGCGATTTATGGAGGCTCAAATGCTCTAATACACACACACACATACATATCCCCCCTCCACGGAACGGAGCTGTGGGACCCGTTCTTCAGGGGATACAGCGAGCCAGTCCTCTCCGGAAAGCCCAGGAGTGAGAAGAGGACATGAATCTGGGTCTCCTCTCTGGCTCTTGATCTCTGGAGTTCATCTAGGCACTCGGGAGAACGATTTAATGACCTGCTCCGCCCCTACTCCCCCCGCCCAGGCAGCTCCGGGCGGCTCTCGGTCACACGAGAGGGGAGCGGGGGGGAATGAGCCGCAGAGGCGGCAACAGCAGCAGCAGGAGGAGGAGGAGGAGGAAAGGAGGGAGGGCAGGAGGGAGGGAAAAAGGAAAGCGGGCAGGTGACACCGCGCTGGGTTGCTCGGGGCTGGCGGTAGCAGCGCGGCGGCCATGCACGTCAATGGCAAGGTGGCTCTGGTCACCGGCGGGGCGCAGGGCATCGGACGGGCTTTCGTACAGGCGCTGCTGGGCAAGGGTGCCAAGGTAAGTCCCGGGAAGCGCGCTATTCTCTCCTCTCCCCTCCCCTCTGCCTCTAGCCGGCACCCACGGGTGGGAGGTGGCGGCAGCCCCCGGGACTCGGCTCGGCGGGGGACCCGTCCCTCTGTCCATCCGCCCGCTACTCGTTTTCCTCTCTCTCCTCTCAGGTAGCCCTCCTGGACCGCAACTCCGAGGCCGGACAGGAGAGCAAGGCGGCCCTAGACGAACAGTTTGAAGCGCAGAGGACGGTGTTCATCCAGTGTGACGTGACGGATCAGGAGCAGCTGAAAGGTAGGGAAATTCAGAGCGGTGCTCCGGTGTAAAAGAGCAGGGACCGGAGCGAGCCTGGGCTGCCGCACCGGTAAGGCTACAGCGAAAGGTTGTGGGGGACAGCCTGCTCCCGGTCGCTTCTGGCAGTGACTCAGAAAGGATTTGTTTCCGAATCTGCAAATGTGAAATATTACTATCAGCATTACTACCACAATTTCACCGTGTTGCTTGGCACGTGGGAAAGAAAAGCCAAAGAAATCCTTTCCATTGAATTTTGTGTGTGATATTTTTGCACGAAAGCCTCAGCAGAAGATAATTGTTATTTTATGAGTAATATATATAAACTTTAAAGCTCAGACTTGGTTTTTATGAGGCTTCAGTACAGATTCCAAGCTGCATTCCCTCGTCACAGGAGTAATAAATTCAGCGCTGGGTTGCAGTGCTCCTTCCATCCAGCACACTTATTTCATTGCATGCTGCCACAGCTGAAAGCAAAACTGGCAAAAAATAGCATGCTACTATATCGTGATATTACGTATGGGGTGATAACACCTCATACACGTTTTGCAGGTGCAGGGAATGCAATGAGCTTCCCTCATGAATGATTTGCATTTCTGTCTTCACTTAGTGAATAAAAAGGGTTCCCTACTGAGTTCCTAGAATATCATATAATGTTGATGCACCCTTCACAATATTTCATAACAGGCACATCACTTCATCAAAGTTTCATTATTAAATGATACAATCGTAGCTAGTGACTCAGATTCAGATTTTGACATCCCTTTTTTCAGTGCTCTTTCCCCAGATTCATTTCTGCCAAACTAGATGTGAACACTTTTAGGTCTGTTTTAGCTCACCAAACTTCACTGGTCAGTTTCTCAAGAGGGGTCATTGAATATATCCATTCCTCTTTCAGAAAACATTACAGTTATTCCAGAATTCAGCAATATTGTTTACAGTTCCAAGCTAGCATGATTATGCCTAAGTCCATAGCTTTATAGCGTCTGTCTGTAAGAGAAATGCTGGACTTTAAATATGAGATCTTCTCTAATCAGCAAAGTCTTTATCAGCTAGGTTGACTCTTGACTGTTTCTCTAAGTGGGAGGAGTAACCTAGGAGCAAGAAAAAGCATCCTAGGGGTAGGAGTAACATCTGCTGTAGCATGGGTGTTACCCCAGTGTGCCTTCTCTCCCACAGTTCCTCCTTTCTTTAGTGCCAGGCTAGTATCAGAGGTACTGGTTCACACAGGGTGTGAACTGTGAGCTGGAATGAGCAGGATGGGTCAGCAAGGGAGGTGTTAGAACCAAATTAGTAGGAAAAGAGCTATCAGAATTGGATTGGAAAGGGCTCACAAACAGAGCAGCTGTTGCACATGATTCCCTGATAATCATTATTAATCCTGCTGTATATTTCTTACTATAAATTTGCAATCATGTGTTACAGTCTTTTGGGGTTTCTAAGTTGTTTTTGGTGTTGTTTGAGGTTTTTTTAAGTGCTTCATTTTCAATTTTTTACTCGTAATTATATGGTACTGCTTAATGAATTTAGATTAATTTCACGCTTAGTGTTTAAAGGTCTTATCAGATGAATCAAGTACTGTATTTTATGTTAAAGGTCATATGCAGGAATATAGTTCCTCTTTTTATAACTTTAGCCCTTACAGTAGGAAACGAGTCCCAGTACTAGAACTAGTATCTGTAGGTACATGAGGCTTACGGGTAGGAAATCAGCTACTTCATATACTTTCAAGTCTTACCTGTACTTTTTCCTCTAGTCGTTCTTTCACAGTCTCCCACAAAAGTCTTCTATCTTGTCCTACTTTTGAAAAATCACCACACATTTACTTTTGCTTTCCAAGGATATCCTCTATAAGTACTGTTTGTGCTTGCTTTCCACTGTTTTTCTTACCTTTCCTTTAAAATAGAAACTCCTCTTCCACTTCTCCTTCTTCCCTCAATGTTTCACATGATTTTAATGCTTTTAATTTTTATGGTTCCCTAAGCACTAACTAGCATGCAATGTAAAGGAATTGTTCTACATTTGAAAAGGCAAAAACGAGTCAGCTTATACTGATGTGTGAGTGAGAACTTCACTAAGAATTTACAGTGATTTTCTTCTTTTTGTGGATAGGTAAAAGATGGGATTACTGTAGACAGACTTTTACCAGAAATATTCCATAGATATCAAAACAGCTGAAAAGCATTTGGCTCTTTTCTCAATGTGTTTACTGGAAAACTAGAGTTAGTTAATGAACAAATAATTAGGAAATTACTATTATCCATGGTGATTTTTTAAGGCAAAAGATTCTATTAAGAATTAGGTTGATGAAAGATGTTATTTAGAGAAGGTCTAAAAGGAAATCAGCCAGTTTCCAAAATTTGGAAGTTAATTGAGGACCCAAATGGTATTTATTTTACTCATTGAAATTAAGTACTCAGTTATGCTCATAATAAAGCCAAAGGTTTCCATTTGCCCTTGCTGACGGAGGATTGGAAAGATGAGAAGTGACTAAAGAGTTAAGAAAAGAGAGAAAAAATTAGCAACAAACATAAGAAAATCCAAAAAGGCAGAAAGCCAAAGCTAGAGGATTTAGTAATATTACAATATTCTAGTATGGAATAAGAATATTAGAAAAATCTGTACAACAAAGGCAGTTGGACAAATAAAAACTTTTCCATCAGCTGCCTAGCTCTTGTTTTGATGTCAGGAACATGATGGACCTGCAGTATTCAGGCAAAGAAAAGGCTGTAACAGTACTGATCATATGGTGAAAGAAAAAACTTTGTACATCCTTGCAACTTCTGTAAAAATATGTCAGTGTCTGAAAGTTGCTACTATACTACTGAATAGCCAAATACTAAAGATCAGAGAATGAAGATGTTCCTGGGATCATCTTTCAGAGGAGTAGTTTCATTAAGAATTGTCAAGTATAATTGCAATACACCTGAAACACTGTAGATTTTCAGTCAGTCATCAAGAAATGTTTTTTAAAATAATACTGGGGAGGTGGTGTCTTGGTTTACATAATAATAAGTATTTAATGGTAAGGATCAGTATTTGGAGGGAAAACCAAACAGGCTATATGTACACATCAGATAATGTCTTTAGTTCTGGAAAATCTTAGTTTGGAATGAACATCTGGAAGTCATCTCATCCAACTACACTGTCAAAGCAGAGGCGGGCTTGATGAGTTTGCTCCTCACTGTGACATCATCATGTTTTTCCATACACATCTTTTATCTCGATTCTAAACCTTGTCACCTGGGAGAACACAATGTCATTGTGGAAGCTTTCCAGTTCTTTATTTTTAAATTCTTTGGAAGACAGGTCACTATTTTTATCATCAGAATGAAGAAGATTTGAATTTGAGAAGTACATTATTAAAGTTACCTGACAAGAAGGATGTATAACATTGTATCCATAAATACAATTGTTACATTTAAACAAGAATCATGATTAATTCTTTGTATATGAAATATTTTTATTAATTATTCATTAAATAAATATTTTGTTCTTATATTTGGACTGAATGAAGAAAATTGTTCTGAACACATGAAGCTTTTATTTTTCATTTAAAATAGATGGTGTCAAATCTTGAATTCACTAGCTGTGTCCAGCTGTTACAATTCAAGCTGTAAATGTTTATATAATTAGGGTGTCAAACATCTTATCTAATGCAAAATGTATAGATGCTGAAAACTTTCATTAGCTTCTGCTATCAGACATCATAAAACTAAATGAAAAGCCAACTATGGTACCTTAATCAGTTTCCCTCATTATGTCTAATATCAGCGCATATTAGATAAAGAATTTAATTGCATATTGCTCATTAGTGGCTAAGAAAACAATGAAGACATTTTGGTAGACTAATAAAGCCTTAATTTGTATGCATGCACTGTATTTTTATGTCTTACTTTCCACAAGTGCTAAGAAATTACACCCTTTGGTCTTCTTATAGGTGCTTTCAAAAAAGTAATTGAACACTTTGGAAGGCTGGATATTGTGGTTAACAATGCTGGAGTGAACAATGAGAAGGACTGGGAAAGCACTATACAAACTAACTTGGTAAGCAAGTTCACATGTTCATATTTAAACCTGGAATACACTTAACAGCCCTTGACTTGTACAGATTGTGCCATATGACAGAGCATTAATTATCAGATTGGTAAGCACAGCTATTGAAACAATAACCATGTAACTGCATGTGTACTAACCAAAGAAAGGGTGTGTGATGGGTCCTTTAAACTGTCTGAGACAGGCAGCATTGCGTAGAAGTACTCAGACTATCACCAGAAAACATTCTCTTTCTATAAAACAATTAAATTCTAAAGAGAAGTAACATTCGACTGCCCTAAGCAGTAGAGCTGCATCCACAGTGGGCCCAGTCTGTTTATATGAAGATTTTAGAACATTTTAGTTACTTATGGGACTCAGCTGGCCTGAATTAGAGGATAAGTTGCCATTTGCTGTTCAACCAAGAGCTCCACATTTTCTTCACCAATGAAGCAAGCATATAACCTGATCCATTTCACCATCTTCACTAGTAGAAGCACACCTCTTAAGAGCACTTACTTGTTAAAAACCAGTAGATTCAACGAGCCTGTAAAATTCATTTTTGAACAGGCTATTACCAGTTCTTTGATATAAGAACCACACTATCTGTTTCTCAATTGATTTTTTTTTTAATTTAGAGCATATTGGTGGGATATTTAAGCTCCAAAGGAAAGACCAATTTTCTAGGTTAAAAAAATTCTGACCAGCTAGTATTCTACTTCCTTTGAAGCCCTAATTCAATAGTGATTCAACAAGTCACCCCATGATCACATTACTGCAAAGAAAGTAGCAAAAGGAAGTTTTGAGGAGTGAAATGTGAAGTTTTCTCATTTGAAATTTGTCGTGCAACGAGAAAGCTCAGAATAAGAAAACTGAGTTTGCTTTTGTCAAAAGTTTAAAGGATGAAAGTACCTGTCTTTGAATCCTAATGCCTCCATGAAAACAAACTAACAAAAGAAGCTGAGGACAAGTAAGATAAGCTGGATATGAGAGAAGTTACAGAAAAATTAACATCAAAATAGGTATTTGGGAAAAAAATAGGTTTCATATGACCTTTCTCTTGACCTTTTATATCTGTCTATTCTTTACATATTCTTCAAGATTTAAGTACATATATTTCTTCCTCCTTCTCTACAATGTGCTGAAAAATCAAACATCAGGAAACTTCATACTGTGAAGTAACAGTACTGTGTCATCCTCAGTGATATGTAACACCAATATCTATTAATACAGATCCCTTGAATTTGAGAGAATACTATCTCTGTTCTAGACAACTTATTCTTGTGCCTGGTTTTAACACAGGATATAAGTTACCATAAGCATCCATTCACCTGACAAATTTGCAAACACGGACAGTCATCATTAGAAAAACTGAAGTCCATGTGAGAAACACATTTGACTGTCACCCACCTTATAATTTAGGTCAAAAATTACAGGTACTTCTTGAAGTGCCTTCAGGAAATCTTGAAGATATTTACTGCCCAGGTAAATATCTTAGAGTGGTGTCCTAATAATTTTTCAGTGACAAGAGCTTCAAACAGAAGACATTGAGAACCTCCTTCTACTCTTTTGCAGATGACACCAAGCTGGGTGGGAGTGTTGATCTGTTGGAGGGTCTCTACAGAGGGATCTGGACAGGCTGGATAGATGGACCAAAGCCAAATGTCTAGGGGGGGCAATAAGGCAAAATACCCAGTCCTGCACTATGTTCACAACAACCCCATGCAGAACTGCAGGCTGTGGGAAGCATGGCTAGAAAGTAGCCCAATGGAAAAGGATCTGGGGGTGCTGATTGACAGCCAACTGAACATGAGCCAGCAGTGTGCCCAGGTGGCCAAGAAGGCCAATGGCAACCTGGCTTTTATCAGAAATGGTGTGGCCAGCAGGACCAGGGCAGTGATTGTCCCCCTGTACTTGGCACTGGTGAGGCTGCACATCGAATTCCATATTCAGTTTGGGCCCCTCAGTACCAGAAAGACATTGAGGTATTGGAGCATGTCCAGAGAAGGGCAGCTAAGCTGTTAAAGGATCTTCTAAGGAGTGCCTAGGGGAGCTGGGATTGTTTAGCCTGGAGGAAAGGAGTCTCAGGGGAGACCTTATCACTCTCTAAACCATGTGAAAGGAGGTTGTAATTAGGTGAGGGTCAGCCTCTTCTTCCAGGTTAGTGACAAGACAAGGAAATTTTGTGCCAGGGAAAGTTTAGGCTGGATCTTGGCAAACATTTCTCCACCAAAAGGGTTTTCAAGCATTGGAGCAGGCTGCCTAGGGAAGTGGTTGAGTCACCATCTCTGGAGGTATTTAAAAGAGATATAGATAGGGTGCTTGGGGTCATAGTTTAGTGGTAGCCTTGGCAATGTTGGGTTATCAGTTGGATTTGATGTTCTTGAAGATCTTTTCCAACCTAAACAATTCTATGATTCTACTCTTTTTTTTTTTTTTTTCTTATTACAAGTGATTGAGCAAAAGCAGACCTTAGGTGAGTTTGAACCATCTCAAATAGCAGAGAAATAGAAATCCAAGGCTAAAAAACATATATACTTAAAAATGTCTCTATTTCCCTCATGTAGGATGTTTTAAGTATTCTTTGTATTATTCCTAATAACAGGAATAATTGCTACAGCCACACAGTTTGATACACATAATACACATTTTTTTTATTTTAAAAAGGGAAAATAAATATTCTACATGTCAGTTGTTGTCTTAGTGATATCATTCATATATTGAAATGGCAAATATTTCCTGCCCCAGTTTAAAGTACAAAGTACAAAAGTAGAGCAGTACAGAGCAAGATAAATCAGAACAAACACATCTGGGGTGTGTTCTTTATGGCTAAAACAGTTCACAGAACCGGTTGGTCTTCAGGAATATTTTTAAAGGAGTGTAAGGGAGTTCTCTGCTAGTACTGCATGGGAAAGCTTGAAGAACAGATATGAAGAAGCAGGTTCAAAACGTGGGACTTAATTTACAAGGAAAAAGAGGGAAAAAACTCAATTCCTACTTGTATCAGTTACAGTTTCCTGAGAGCAAGAAAAGACAACTTGATAAAAATGGGAATGGGGTGGAGGAGGAGTAGGAGTATCAACTGCTAAACAGGTACTTCTCTTGCGGCGTTTTGCACCATTTTGCTCAATCTTGTGCTAAGCATCCATCTTTTCGTTACTTTATAAGCATTTCTGTTATTTTCTTTAGTTAAGTATTCCAGAAATGCCATCTATTCCTCACCTTAAAACTCCAAAGCTCACGGTGTGGACTTGATTGATATTAGCTTAATCAACAGCCGCTTCAGCTGCTCATACCCACACGAGCGTTCACTCTTGTTACTATGGTAAAAAAACCAACCAACCAACCAAAAAAATCCATACAGGAATTCCCCTTTAAACATATATTACCAGGTAGTTTCAATAGTTCATCACACACACACACACACACGCTAATGCACAGAATAGCACATGGGCATATGACAAGGACGTTCTTACCCACAGTCCCACCTACAGCCCTCCAGCATAAAAATAGTGTTTATTGCATTCCACTTCATATGAACTTCTACCTTAGGGTTCCAAAAATTTTATAATCTTTTTTCTCTTCAAATCCCTAAAGCAAGAAAAGAACCCACATCTTTATGAGCCTTGAAAATATATGTTAGTTTAACACAATTGGGTGTTACAAGAAATTTCAATAATTTTATCTTGTGTTGATGATGTAGGCTTTCTGGAACCACTGATATTAGAGTGGCCACTATGACTACAGTATCTTTCCTTGTACAAATGCACTTAGCAGATTTTATACTAAAGACAATCCAAATTACATGCAGGTTCTCTTTCTATGTTTGTGTCAGAGATTTCTGAAAACTGACATAGCTTGCAGTATACAGTTAAAGTCGCAGTATTGGTATCACATTTTCTTGTATTTTAAATACTACATTAAACAAAAATTCAGAAGCACTTTATGTGACATTTTGACTATCTTTTGTTTTATTATGCAAAAAAAAAAAATTTTGTAGATATAATTAAACAAGTTGCCCAAATGTAATTAAATAGATTTAAGAAAAAATTTGAACACAAAATCACAACTATCTCCTGTTTTTGTGATGATTTTGCGTGCTATAACACATTCTAGCAAACCTTTAAATTGCAGGCCATAAATTGGGTACATCAAAAAAACACCCAGTCACATAGGATCCAATTATTTGGGCATTCCCCAGAAAGAAGTAGAATTCAAATGCATTACTAGATAAAATGTAGAAATGCCCAACAATTCCAAGTTTTTCCATTTTTTATGGGTTTGCATAATTTATTTTCATAAATGACAGAGGTAACATGTTTCCCTAAATTTAGAAAAGTTTCTTAAAGTCTACCAAACTCATCATTTGTCCCTGCAAAATACTTGGATTGGAATTACAGAGAAGATAATGCAACACTGTATACTTATGTGTGACTCCTTTCAGTATAGCTCACAGTGCAATAAATGTTCCAGTAATTAGCAAACCTTGCAAAATCAGTTTGCTCATCAGTAAGGAACAACTCCTCAAAAGGACCGTTAATGTCTTGGCAGAAACCAGAAGTTAACTAAGTAAATGTCAGAAGTGATTAATTGAATTTATTTTTGGGACAAAGACTTCATGATCATCACAAGGCCTTTCCACTGTGCAAGCCATAAAAAGGGATGCCTTGGGAGTAGGCTGCAACCTTCGTCTTGTCCATACACATTGCTTGCCTTTCCCAGTGTACCAGGAGAAATGACAAGCACTGAACTTTCATCCCAAAATAATGTGACCCAGACACATAGCTGGATTCAGCAGCTGGAAATAACCACTGAATCCCACAATACAAAGACAAGTAGTTTCTTAATGCCACCAACACAGAAACAAACCAAAACAGTGCTATCTGTAGAAGATAAAATGGTATATGTGACTGATTTACCAATCTTGCCTTCTAAGATGACTAGAAATGTACTAGCTTAGTTACCTATTCTGCAGCATAATTTTATGTCAGGGAACCAAGTGTCTATGGAGA